TCACTACTTTAATAATTTTTTAATTAAAATATGTTATAATTATATTTTAAAAATAAAGATAAAATATCAATAAAAATATGAAACAATATTTTTAATAAAAATATAATAATTATTTGATAAAATTTTTTATTTATTTCTTACTCATCACTACTTTAATAATTTTTTAATTAAAATATGTTATAATTATTTTTTAAAAATAAAGATAAAATATCAATAAAAATATGAAACAATATTTTTAAGGAGAAGTAAATACTTAAATTAAGATATTTTAAATTAAGAATTAAAGCTACTAAAATTAAATAAAACAATAAAAATTATAAATAATTTTATTATTAATTAATTATTTTTAACATCTAAACTAAATAAAAGCAATATTCAAAGGATAGTATATAAAAAAGTATATAAGTTTAACACTTTTAAAGTTTGGCTAAAACAATTCGCACGTGGAAATGCTTTTTGTTTTTTGTTTTAATAATTTGACGTATCATTAAAATAATTAATTTTTTTAATTCATGTAAATTTATAATATTAAATGTATTTACTCATTTAATAACATATATAAATTACACAAAAAAAAACTATCTCTATAATTTCATCCATTTGCACATATGCCCTACCCATGCATTAAAAATGTCCACGTCAGACTTTCAGAATTCGCACGTATTTTAAATCTCTTTTCCCTCAACCTTTTTGCAGACAAGTGAAACTGGGATCGAGTTTGAAGAAACACAGCTTCTTTATTTCTTCCATAACTTCTCAAGTGCAGTACTTCTTCCACAATCATCACAGAAATGGGTGAAGTAAGTTCTCTTATTCCACAAATTCATAACCCATATTTCTATATTTTCCATTTCTTCCTGTACTTGATGATTTCTGACAGATATTCTAGGATTAATGTTGTCTGCAAGCAAATTCTAAATTTTTTCTGAAACTTGAAGATGGATTCTTTCTTCTTGGGACTCCTCATGAGTTTTATGAGGCTTTTTTTTCAAGTTCTGTGCATTTTGCGAATTATTTTTTTTGTGTCCATGATGCATGTTGCTTGGTATGCCTACTTTCTGCGCGATGTATTGCCGAGTAGAGAATTGCTGATCTGTTTTTTTATGTTCTGTGTGATGATGAAGGAGAACAAAGAAGAGAACAAGGGGGAGGAAAAGAAAGAAGAGGCCAAGGATGAACAGAAGAAAGAAGAAGAGAAAAAGGAGGAGAAGAAGGAAGAAGAGCCTCCAGAGATTGTACTCAAGGTTGATATGCATTGTGAAGCTTGTGCTAGAAAAGTTGCTAGAGCCCTCAAAGGATTTGAAGGTATAGTCACCGTCCTTGACTTTAATTAATTTATAGAATTTTTTTTTTTTTTTAGAGGCAAGGAATTAGTACTAAGTCAGTACTGACTGGTGGTTAGTGTTGAGGTTTAATTAAAGAATCTCTATTTTAACCCCATAATTATGGTTTTGAAGTTATTGAGTTCTAATTCGGGCGAAGCTCTTTTCATTTGTAGAAATTACTTAACTAGAACATGCATAGAGAAAATTTTATGGCTAAATCTTTATGTTGATAATTGGTGACAGGGGTGGAGGAAGTAGCCACAGACAGCAAGGCCAGTAAGGTGGTGGTGAAAGGAAAGGCAGCAGACCCCATTAAGGTCTGTGAAAGACTACAAAAGAAGAGAGGAAGAAAAGTGGAGCTGATTTCCCCTTTGCCAAAGCCACCAGCGGAGAAAAAGGAAGAAAATACAGAACAGAAGGAAGAGAAAAAGGAAGAGGTAAGATTTCAAACTTAAAAATACCACAGCAAATGAATCGGGATCTACTTACATATGTTTAAGTCTTAAAGTCTTACATAAATTATCAATAATTAATCTCCAAATCCAATAGTTGGAATGGTACCGAGAATTTTTAAGACTTGCAGTAGCAAAGCAAGTAAGACACCCCACCGCCCAAAAGTACTGTGAGTCTCTATTTTTAACCTATTAATAAAGTATGGTAAAGGCTTGAAGTTTGAACTGGCAATACAGTGAAAGTTGTGAGTGCTGTTTCCCCTGCTGACATTGAAAGTAACAAAACAAGTTAGCCAGAGGCACGTTTTACCACAAGGTGATGAAGTTGTAATTCATTATTGGTTTAGGGTTTTGACCCCACAGTTCCATAAGCTGATAGTTACAGCAACGCAGCAGGTTGCAGCTGCCTATGGGGTCAAGCCCTCGTGATCCCTGGCACCATTTACAGCCTCATAGCCATGTGCATATACATAGATGCAAAATAATGGTTGATTGCTTTGGCCCTAACATTGAAAGTAATTTAAGTGAACATATGTACAATATTATATTATAGTTAGATTAGCATGCCTTCGAGACAGTTTGTCGTGGCTTTCTTGGCAGTTGAGCCACTTTGGCTTGTTGTGACAACTTTGTGCAAATCCACCTTGGCTAAAAAGATGTAATGCTAAGGGTGTGGTGCAGTACAATATTGCATAAACATTAGACGTTAGATTAATTAATTTCTTTTCATGAGTACATGACTAAATTAATGTTGATGGAATATCTTCTGGTAATGGCAGCCTCCTAAAGTTGTCACGGTAGTGTTGAAGGTTCGGATGCACTGTGAAGCTTGTGCTCAAGTTATACAGAAGCGAATTCGAAAGATGAAAGGTATATATATTTTCACAATCCTAATTAATTTGTCATGAATTCTAGTCTGGTAGAGGTGCCTAAGTTTAAATTGGAGACTGATGACTTTAATGTCCCAATTTCCTCAGTTGTGTTGGAATGTACATGATTTGTCAACCATGTCATGAGAAATGGCTGCATTTAGGAAATGTGGGAATGTGAAATATAATGCTTTAACGCACTCCAGAGTCCAGTTAATTAATTTGAACCTTCAAATGCATCACATATGCAGGTGTAGAATCTGTGGAAACAAACCTGGCCAACGATCAAGTAATAGTGAAAGGCATTATAGATCCTGAAAAGCTGGTTGATTATGTCTACAAAAGAGCCGGAAAGCAAGCCTCCATTGTGAAGGATGAAGAGAAGAAGCAAGACGAGAAGAAAGAAGATAAGAAGGAAGAGAAAGCAGAGAAGAAAGAAAGTGAAGAAGACAAGGCGGGAGATGATGCCCTAGTTGATATGATCAAGCGGAGTGAATATTGGCCATCAAGGTTCTACTCAGAGTATGCATATCCTCCTCAAATTTTCAGTGATGAGAATCCAAATGCTTGCTTCATAATGTAACCAGCATTAAACTGCAGTTTAATGTGCTATAGTCAGCTACAATTTTCCATGTAGTTATAAGGGATGATAAGATCCTGGCCAGACTTAAAAATTGAGTGTTTTATGGCATCCTATGTAATCATATATAGGTAATGTTTTTTTGTAAGCTTCATGTACACTTAAGACATTCATATGTAGAATGTTACAGTTCAAGAAGTTAGCTGTAATAAGTTAAATTGGTACCTAAGTTTATCGTTGTGATTTACTTCTTTGTTCTGTTCTTATTCTCTGAAACATGTTTAGATGTTTTTGCATGTTCAACAAGTGCATACAACACAGTTCTATTGCCAAAGATGTCTAATCTCCAAACCCCAGAGCAGATGGCACAGTTGGGAGAGATTGCTGCCCCTAGAATTAAAAAAATGGGAGAAAGCAACATCCAACATTGTCTCTAATGTCAGTCTTCAGCGTTTTCAGAGACCATATCGATCTGGGGTAATTGTGCTCATGTTGGTGGTCCCAGGCATCTAGAGAAAAAAAACAAGGAAATATTCAAAATTTTCAAAATTCCTTCTTTGATGTGAATGCAAATGCTTGCATTTCCATACATGGTGCTCACTTAACAACCACTCAAGCAAATATTGACAAATTTTTGGAAATGCTTTGATCCTTGGTGAATTGTGGACTTGTGTGTAGCTTAGATGGAAAAATTCCTCCGCAAAAAAATGCATCAAATTGACGCTCGTCATCCCATTTGACAAAGCCAAAACTCATTAGTGCCACTCATATATATATGAGATGAGATGCTTTTTTCCATCATCGGCCATAGCCATGCTCAGGGTTTATGCTTATGATTTGAATAAGACAGAGTTCATTAGACCAGAATATTTGTAGGTTTCAATCTTCACCAATGAAGGTTGGCACAAATCAGGGGACCACAAGTTGTGGCCTAACACAAGAAAGGCAGTGAGGACATGTTAGGTCCCATTCAGCATGGTCATGGTGGGTCATGAAGCACATGAGTGGAAAAGTGAAGGTTAGTAAACAGTTGTACGTTTCATTGCCTGATCTAAGTGGACTGACCTTTTGAAACAGGGACCCTATTCGATCCCCAAATCTTTTGATCTTTCCGAAAGAAGTAAACAGACCTGGCGTCTAGTATCCAATGTCCGTAAGGTAAGAACTAGGCTTTCCTTTACAACCAGGCCCAAGGAGGACTCTTTCAAAAATTACATCTGGGTATTAAAAATCAATGCTATGGGAACCAAACATGTAATAATTTAACAGAATTCATACCTGTTAATAGAAAAATCTTGTATTATAAAGGTCAAGGTTAATTATTTCTTTGACGATTAAAAAAAATAAAAGTCAAGGTGATGAATTATATGTGCACCTACCTAGATGGACATATAATAATTGAAGTGAAAGTATTCGCTAGACAATTAGAAGAAGTTCCAAAAGACAACTTAATACATGGTCATTTTTTATCTTAGAAGGTGACCCTTTAGGCCCGCATTATTTGTTTGATGTGGTTGATGACTTTGATGCAGTTCTTTTCAAGTTTTCATCAAAGAAAAAACGAGGAATTTCTCGCCCATAAATCAAATCCATGTGTAAACACAAACCAGTTTCTTATCGGAGAATTTAACTTCAAATGTCGACTCCCCTTTATTGGTATTTAGTCATTTTCTTTGGTTGTTTTTTTCTTCTTTTTTTTTTAAAAAAAAAATTGAAGATATATTATCTTTCTACGAAACTCTCTGTTCGACCTTTTATTCCCCTTAAAAGGGATGGATCATACTTTTACAATTTAAATAATAAAAGAATAGAATCAGGGATGGATCATATGGAAGGTAGTAGCAACTTCTTTCTACTCAAATTCACACTTAAGGGTTATAAATCTAAGCAGCAGCGGCAGAAGCACATCGGCCCAGAGTTAGGCATGGGCCCTTCCCTGGGCCAAAAAAATTTAAAGAAAGTAAATGACTTAATTGTCTAGACCCTATCTTGTA